ATTTAGTAATTCTACTCTGAGTTATATTTCTCAGAGAGAGAATCGATGCCTCTGGAATTTGACAAAGGTATAGCAGTTGTATTACACGCTCAGATACCGACAGAAAGCCCCCCCCCCCTCCCTCTAATTCCCGTGACGAAATGTTCAAGATTTTATAATTATTATAGAGATAGAAAGTAAAACTTTATAACTTCCCAGAAAGTGACTTACATGGTGGACGTAAGATATAAGGTTTTTCGATGAATTTTAAAATCACTCCTTGTTAAAATATCTGCATCATTTTCCTTATATACATTCATTAGGTAATTTCAGCCATGTATTAAAAATGCAAACCAAAACCGCACTACTTGCAAATTTTTATTCAGCAACTGAATTGTGAGCTGCAAGCTGCGATATTTTATATTCAAATTCTTCAGATGAAAGAAGTTTCGTTCCTTCATTGTTTTCTTGGGTCATACGACACAATTCTAGAGAATAGCGGGTCTTTTAAAGAACCTTATTTAATCAAAGACATATGAAACACATTTGTTTTAAATTTTCCTTAAAGAAAGTAAAACAGTTCCTGTATCTCGTGATTTTTCCTTGACTTGTGGGAGGATGAAATAATTTTTCAAAAATAAATGTTTTGTAATACTCAGTATTTCTAGTATTCCACTCTGTATGTTTGAGGTATATACATACCTGCCGTTTAGCTCACTATTTTTTCTGATGGCAAATAAAAGTTATTTTGTCATAAATGAAAACAAAGCATTAGAGTATTTAACCGTTCAAAACTTCCAATTTCACAATTTTTACAGGACAAACGATTTGATGCTCCAGAATCTCCCTCTAAAACAAACCAGCAATATTGTTTTTCTTTTCAAGGTGATTTTAACTTTTGGCTTTTTCTTTGTGTTTATTAAATATGCTACGTTATTCAGATGGTGTTAACCTAAATTGATCATTTAATAAAAACATTTAATTTATTCTTTCACGGTTCTGATGATGTATCTTTACATTCATTCTACTTCGCTGCTCCTAAATCTAATTATTGACATAGCAAAAGTAAATAAGAATCGATATCAGTGGAGTTTAACGGCTTCAGTTTAACCTATATAAAATATTTTCCATGGTTTGCTACTTAATTAAATAAACAATGTGATAGTAACAGTGCCCTTTCACCTGGAAGTAGCTCGCCCAGAGACGTCGAATGTCTCGTGACCAAATTAGATGCAGCACGTTAATTTGTTTACATCACCGGAAAGTCCTTTTTTCAAATAGTATTTAAAATAACTCCAAAACCACATTCTTAAGAAAGCTTTTAATTGAAATTCAATTAAAAATGAAACTCATAATCAAAGGCCGGAAAATATGACGTTAAAGCACTGTAATGTTTCGACGGCGCTGAATGGAAAGTTCCCTTATGTCGAAGAGACGGAGGTTCTTTTAATTCCTGTGTCGT